TCCATCTAGTGCTTCCAGGTTTTCATCGTGGTCTAGATTCAATTGACTCTTGAATTCAACTATTAAAATTTACAAAAATCTCCACAAAATCCCTTCTCTGACAATAAAACCAGAACAAACATTGATACAGAATAATATGAATACGACCTTGGTCAATGACTGAATCACTAGATATCTAAACTGATTATTTTAAACGTCTTATCCACCTACCTGTTCGGATATTCAGAAAAATATCCCAGAAATTATTCTGTTACGTCTAACGCTATCCTTGGACTTGAGATGGTGTCATTTCCTTATCGGTCAATGTTTATTTCACGTGTCAATTTCCTACTGGTCAATATTGTACAATGTTATTTTCTATTTTATAGTACGATGTGGTCTGCTTGATTAGTTTATAAACAGAGTGTGTTTGAAATATAATGATTCATATCTCCGAGGCTGAGACTTGCGTTCTGGACTCAACTGGCTGGGCCAGACAGAGAAGCGTGACCAATCAAAACCCTAGGCCGTTCTTACGTGTTTGCGCGTCTTTGGTCCGATCGATAATTCGCTGTCCTCTAATCTGCCGTCAAGGTCATAACAGCTAGCGACGGGGCCATAACGACTGGCGACAGAGATTTTTTCTTTTCTATATTGATTGATCCAGAACAAAATGTCTGTATCATTGGATGACTTCAAAACTATTCTACAAATGCAGCAAGCACAAAATGATGCAAATCAAACGAAGCTTTTAGATGCACTGGCGCGAATGCTCTCATTTCATTCGTCCTCAACTTGTCAATCAGATACGTATGAAAGCATCATAAATTCTATTTCTGAATTCCATTATGATCCCGAAGCTGGTGTCATTTTCAATTCGTGGTTTCACCGTTGTGAAGACATTTTCCGCGTCGAATACTCACATCTTGACGACGCAGCTAAAGTTCGCTTACTGTTAAGAAGACATGGAACAGAGGAATACAATAAATATGTGAATTTTATCTTACTACAAAATCCACGAGATATATCATTCAAAGACACAGTCCAGATTCTATCTGATATTTTCGACGAACAGTCCTCACTATTTAATACTCGCTTTAAATGTTTCCAAATAACGAAATCTCCAGAGGACGATTACCTCACGTATGTCGGGAAGGTAAATCGAGAGTGCGAACGTTTCAGAATAAACTATATCACAGTGGACCAATTTAAATGCTTGATTTTTATATGTGGTCTAAAGAATGCAGAAGATACAGATATCCGCACCAGTATGTTGGCACGCATTGAACAAGAACCGAATATGACATCACAAATGGTCACAACTGAATGTCAGCGGTTACTTAATCTCAAGCATGACACTGCGATGCTGCAACAGAAGGTTAAACCTTCCGATTTTGGTTCAATTAATGCGCTCCGATCCTCGAAATCGTCGAAACAAAACACTACAAGCACGAAACAACCTTCTGCTAAACCCCCATCGCCATGCTGGTTCTGCGGAACATGGCATTTTGCAAAATTTTGTCCGTTTAAGAATCATAAATGCCGCAAATGTCATCGCACTGGCCACAAAGAAGGTCATTGTTCATCAAATAAACACAGGTCTAAACATAGTAGTGAAAATTCGAAGCAACGACCAAACAGTCGAATTAAAATTACGTTTGCAACCTTCAAAGTTGGGTTTAAAAGTAGGCGGAAATATGTAAATTTATTAGTGAATGAAAAATCTATCCGACTTCAATTGGACACTGCCTCTGATGTTACGTTGAACTCAAAGAACATATGGCATAAATTAGGATGCCCACTCATCCGACCGACGGAACATGCCGCTCGAAATGCTTCAGGAGACATAGTGAAGTTGACAGGAGAGGTTACATGTAACGTTCAACTCATGGGAAGTAAATTCACAGATGTTTGTTATCTCACAAATCGACCCGATTTAGATTTATTAGGATTAGATTGGATTGCGCATGTTGATACTTTGAATAAATTATTAGATGAGGTATGTTCTCATAATGTTTCCTCTGAGTCCATCCAAACCCTAATGAATATTTCTAAATCGAATGCCTCCGATGAATCATCCTCTCTTGATATTCACGAATTAAATGCTTCTAATGAAACATGATCTCATAATCTTTCTGAATCAAATAATTCAAATGTTATGTGTTCTCACGATGTCAAATCGAATACTGCCGATTTATTACGTTCTCATAAAATTTCCAAATCAAATTCCTTCGATATAAAATGCTCAGCGACCCAGAAGACTGCGCAACCTGAACAGAGTCATATTAGGAGATCATCACGGAAACGCAGAAAACCATATATTCTATGAGTGGACCCAAAGAGAAGAACATACGTTTCCGAGGGAAGATGTCAATGATAGTATCTCAGCTCTTACCTGTACATACTGACTAACAATTTTTTTTCCAGTTGATCACGATTCATAAGGACCACAACGCCAACCAGCTTCATTTACCTACGCAATCAGTTGTGTGGCAGTTATGATCTTTTTTTAAGGGGGAAGATGTTGTGAATAGGGAAGTAAATCGAGAAGAAATGCTTGACTTGCCTTTCGTGCTAGTTGATATTTTTTTTAAAAAGACATACTTATGATCATAAGGAAATTAATGCTTCCTTTTCGGTTCAAGCACGCATCATCCAACTTTACAGATCAATAAGTTACTCATGAATTAATCAATTCTCGATTGATCTACTGTAGAATTTAGATATTTATATTGATCGGTCACTAAATGATTAACAATATTGTGTTTGAGATGGTGGAGAAGATTTGTTGCTCAGGTGGATGATTTTAAAATTCGAACACTTCATTTCTACTTGAAGTTTGTGATGACGATGTTGTTCAGCAGAATGATGAAAGCTCCATGACCAAATCATCCAGCTCAGAGAACAAAACTCCAAAATCTTGTGTTTGTTTAGTCTTTAGTGTTATATGGCCACTAATGTAAAGTATATGAGTAGGTTGAAAGAAAGCTATGGATATCAGTTCATGAATTGATAGGCTATTTGTTTGACCTATTTAGAGAGATCCCAACTACCTGGTTGGAGTTCATGAGGGTATCATGACCAATGGTTTAAAGATTTTGCATGATATGGCTCTTAAGTAAATAAGTATCTTCAACTACCATCTTAAATATCAACACAGTTGCATACGATGTCGAATCACCTAGATTAGTAGCTACATTGCAACTTGATCGATAGAATTCGAATTGCACTTAGAAGGACCTGGCATGCATAGCATTAGTCATTAGCCAGTGAACATCAACTTTGGGGTAAAGTTGCATCCAAATAACGAGTCACAAAATAAAGCGAAACACATATCCTGGATTTCACTCCTACCCGCCATCCATCTCTGCTTAAAAATTATACGTATTTTCAGATGAAGAATAAATGACACTCGTCAGCAAGGTGTACGTGCAATCTTGAGAGAACTGATGCTCCCCGACAGAATCGATACCATGTCAGAGATGTCACCACCGAGCCTTCGGGACTGCAACTGACTTCCTATGAGATTTATCTTTATAATTTCGTCTGATTGTTATCAGAAGGGGTTTTGTGGAGATTTTTAGAAATTTCAGTAGTTGAAATCATGAGTCAATTGAAGCTAGACCACCATGTATTGTGTTCATGTAGTGAGGAAACCTGAACCAATACACATTTGTGCTAGATTCAATGTTGTTTATTACTGACTGATCGATGATAACAATGAATCACGATTAAAACCAACTGAAATTAATTTCAATCAATATTTTGTGCAAATCAACTATAACTACGCTTACTTACGTCTGGTACTCCTCGTGAAGTAGCGTAGGCCGCTCAACGGCATTCTCCATCCAATCCTGTCCTGGGTAATCATTTACAGCTCTTTCCAGTTGTTATTCATCCTTTTCATATCTGTTTCTATTTCCTGACGTAATGTGTTCTTTAGCCTTCCTCTTTTCTACTCCCCTTCAGAATTCCAAGTTAGGGCTTGCCTCGTAATGCAGTTTGATAACTTGCGCAATCGATATCCTATCCATTTCCATCGTCTTTTCCTAAATTACTCTTCAGCTGGAAGCTGGTTTGTTCTCTCCCACAGAAGACTATTGCTGATAGTATCCGGACAATAGATGTTGAGTATCTTGCGTAGACAGCTATTTATAAATACTTGTATGTTTTTGATGATGGTTATAATAGTTATCGAAGTTTGAGCTCCGTACAGTAGAAATGTCTCGATATCCTTATTGAAGATTGTGACTTTGATATTGGTTGACAGTTGTTTTGAGTTTCATATGTTCTTCAACATCAGTCAGTCAGTCAGTAACAACGTAGAACTTCGTACGTACGTACATCAGTTCGAGTTGCCACACCACATTAGCACAGAGATGCAGTTGTCGATTCAAATCCCGTAGTAGTAGAGGTAATAAGAGCATAAGCAGTAATCGGGAAGATTAGTGTTTGGAGATGTTACTTAAAGAGTATAATACAGTGAAATAAATTTGGGAAGAGAAAAAAAAGACAAGGAGGACTAAGGAGATCGAAATTTGTGAGACACAAAAAGTGGATGCACCTGCGCCATTGAAAACGATTTTGAACCATGTCATCCAGGGTCTCTAACCATCGGTTGCTATCATCTCGCGGTCCCCAACCAGGTAGTCTACACTTACCAACATGACTCAGACCACTTGTCAATGATTTCATGGACTTGAGCCATGCTTTGGTCTGGCCGCCCCTAGCTTTCTTCCAACCTACTCCTATACCACTGAACATCGTACATCGAGGTAGTCGGTCGTTGGGAATACGTAACACGTGTCCCAGCCATCTCAACTGATGAAGTTTCACTACTTCATCAATTGATTTGCCATCCTTACCTAGTACCCGTTTC